AAGAGCAGTCGGTGCTCTTAACCTCTGAGCCATCTCTCCAGCCCCAAAATAGATTTTTTAAATGAAACAAACCTGTGTTTTTGTAAATAGCACTTTAAGATTTATAGGTACTTCACATATATTATCACACTCCATCAATGCACACAGCTCATTCTTTGGGAGATAACCTGCCTCATCCACCTTAGTGCTGTGATTATTTATAGGCACCACAATACCAATTACCATGGACTGAATAGTACAATCCAGTTAATAGACATTAGGACACAGAAATGCAAGCAAAAAAAGAAAAAATGTTTCCTTGTTTTACTCAAAAAAAAAAAAAAAAAAGAAAAAAGAAAGAAAGAAAGATAATTGGTTGGTTCTAGTTTGTAATAACCACAACCTAAAGCAAAACAAAAACCAAGAAGCCTCTACCCCGACCCCTGGCAGCACTAAGGCAAGATGATGCAACTGTGAAGTACTTGAACTAATCTATATCTGAATACAAAACAAAATTTAGTTGAGAAAGATGTATACATAAAGATACCAACTTTGATTACTGTCAAAGATTTTCTACGAAAATGTTCAGTATTGCATATGAATTTTCATTTAGTTAAATATATCTATTTAACCCTTTGGACTACTTTGACTGTTCAAGGCATGAAAGTTTCCTTTTCCCTATCCTAATAATAGAAGGACTATATTCCAGTAGAACAAAACATGTAAAAATTAAGGATACAGCTTTTACAATATTCTAAAACCACCAACTGTTTCCGACTGAAGCATTAATATACTGCAACAGGAAATGTACACAGAATAAAACTTCTCATTCAAATTTCACAAGAAACTTAGTTTTTATAATTTTTTTAATTGGTTACTCTAGAGTAATCATAATTCCGGTTTTTTGCAATATAGTATCATTGTTCTTTTACAAGGTATTCTCTCTTCTAACCCCTTGAACCTGAGTAAGCCTTGTGACTCACTGTGATCAACAAGATATAATAGTTACTTTAAGAAACTTTGCATAGCTACAACTATTACTGACATGATCCTAGGCATCACTTAAAAAACAATACAAACAAAAAATGTTGCTCCAGGGCTAGAGAAAGCTTGGGTTAAGAATGCTTGGTGTGCCCTAATCGACCCAAATAATTGTTTTAGAGTATGCCTTTGAGCCTATGCCTTGTTCCAGCTCACCAGCCCACTCTTACTTTGGAGAGTATTTTTTCTTTCTTAATAAATTATTACTCCATTGCTTAAAAAACAAAACAAAAACAGGAATGCTTGGTGAGGGGCTAGAGAGATGGCTCAGCAGTTAAGAGCACTGGCTGCTCTTCCAGAAGACTCAGGTTCAACTCCTAGAACCCACATGACAGCTCACAACTGTCTGTAACTCCAGTTCCAGAGTATCTGACATCCTCTTACAGATACATTCAAGGAAGACAATTTACAAAACAAATAAATAAATGACTTTTTTTGACAACAGAAAACAAAGGTAAAATGAACAGTAAGGCCATTCTGTGAAGGAACTAAGGTACCTCTGCCTAGGTGTAGCAGGAATACATAGCCCCAAGTAAATGAATAAGGCCAATAACCACCACCAAATCAGCCATTATGTTCTACTGGCCCAATAATAAACACAGCTGTCACGACATGAATACGAACTATCTTCCCAAGCCTCACTTAATGGAATACTTTACCAAAGAACAGTAACAACTGAAGAAAAAAAAAGGCAAGAGTATACAATCAAATCACAAGCCAATAAAAACACAAGTCAAAAGTAATAGAATTAGGGAAACTTTATGTATGGATACTACAATGTCTTTGATTACATTATCTAACTTATAAGGTACAAATTATTCTGACCCAGATGAACTACACTGTAATTTTCTGTACAGTTGTTTTTTTGGAGTGAGGAACACAACAAATAAGCCATTTCTATATTCATTTACCATATTCTTCCCATACTGGATATTATTAATGCGGGGTGCAAAAGCTGATATAACTACTAGTTAATGAGTATGACCATGAAGAAATAAACACTAACACTTCAGAAAGCCTGATGGAAAACATAAAATATGCACACATAAATATTTATATATATATGAAAAGATGCTGTGTACAGAGCCACAGGTAATACAAAGCAAATTAGGAAGTAAAACAGAGCTTTGAAACTGTATAACACGTCAAGAAACATATCCTGAAATAATTTTAGAGCTCAACGAACAGGTTTTGTATGGATTTCAAGGTTAGTAACAACCTGTATGTACAATGTCAATCAAAAGTCATTAAAAAAAGACACAGTGACTTTAATGGGTTAATAGAACAAGATGAATAGACAATTATATATGATCATGAAATATATCTAAATGAGTAGATAAGCCTAAACTTAATAATGCTATTAAGACAACTGGTTGCCGGGCAGTAGTGGTTCATGACTTTAATCACAGCACTCAGGAGGCAGAATCAGGCAGATCTTGAGGCCAACCTGATTTACAAAAAAAAGTTCCAGGACAGCTAGGGCTACACCGAGAAACCCTGTCTTGGAAAACAAAAACAAAACAATGTAGAAAGAGCACTGATTGGGTAAGTATTCATTCAAAGTCTTTGTGGTGGCTTGAATAGGAATGGCCCCCACAGACTCATGTATATGAATGCTTGGCCCATAGAGAATGGCACTATTAGGGAGTGGGGCCTTATTGGGGGATTTGTGTTGGTTATCTGGTCCAACATACTTATCTGGTCCATGCTTAAAAGGAGTATGGATTGAGGAAAGAAATAGACAAGAAGCAGAAGATAGAGTCGGGAGAGAACATCCAGTAAATACTGTGAAAAGGCAAGTTTTTTACACAAAGCTCTTATACACCCCGATCAAAAGGGGGGAAGGCAAAAGACTTCCTTAGCATGCTACAAGGAACAAACAAATGTAATTACCTCCTTAAAACTCAAAACATCAAATAACCACACACTCAACCAAATATCCTGTTGTTTACGTAAGACATCCATTAGCTAAACCTTAGGTCAAATATCCTGTTGTCTAGGCAAGACATATAATAGCCATACTTTAGGCCAAACAACCTGTGGCTTCAACCTTGAAGGAGCAATAATAGACTCAAACTCTCTGACCTTATGTCAAAATGGAACTTCTATGGGCCTCCATAGTATGTCACCATAGGGGTGCCCTTTGAGGTCTCATATGCTCAAGCTATGCCCAGTGTGATACATAATCTCCTTCTGCTGCCTTCTAAACAAGATGTACAACTCTCAGTTCTTTCTCCAGCACTATGCCTGCATGCCTCCATGTCACGCCATGATAATGGACTATAAACCATCCCAATTAAATGTTTTCCTTTATAAGAGTTGCCACTGTCATGATGTCTCTTCACAGCAATAGAAACCCTAAAACACCCTTTGACCTTGCAATTTCATCAAAAGAATGCACAATCTTAAATATAATTCACTAAAATATAGATTCAAACATATCAACATATACATACAATGGGTAAAAAAGAAAACAACCTAAATGCCAAAAAGGTTTTGGGTGGGTACTCTACAATTATTTAAGGATCACTAAAACCAGTATGGTCTTAAGTATGTAAGAAAATGGTCAAGGTCACTTTTGTTTTATGAAGGACTGGCTCAGTGAGTGAAGTTGCTTGCTGTCAGGCTGACTTCCAATACATCATCCTTTTACCTCCACATATGTAGGATGTTAAAAAGTAAAAATTTGGGGCAAGATAGAGTGCAAGATAGAATATAAAGATTTCAAAGAATGTTTTTTTAATACAAATCAACTCTATGGGTGACAACAAAGGACAGCAGAATAAGCTAATCAAAGAGGAGAAATATACCCCCATACTTCACCATGGGCTAAAGGGGGAACCCAGGCACTGAGCAGAGTAGCTAAAATCTCCTTTGCATGCTGGTTTCCACTGGAAAGAATATTTAATAAAGCTTCTTCACCAAGTATATAAAAATAATCCTTTAATCACATAACACTGGAGGCGGAGGCAGGAGGACCTCTGAGTTTTGAGGACAGCCAGGACAGCCAAGGTAGCATAGAGAAACCCTTGGGGGGGG